TCGACCAACAAATCAATGTTAGGTCAAGGAAAAGCATCTTTAGGACATGCCCGATTAAGATCAGTATAATCAACACACATTCTCCATTTTCCATTATTCTTTTTGACAAGTACAACATTTGAGAGCCAGGTTGAATACTGGGCCTCAGAAATAAAATTTGCTCTAAGAGGGTTTTAAAGCTTTTTCAGCAGCCTTCGCTTTTTCGGGAGACTGCATACGCCTACGTTGCATTACTGCCCTAGCAGCTGGATCAACAGCAAGTCGGTAACAGGCGACCTCAGGGTCGAGGCCGGGCATCTCTGCAGCGCTCCATGCAAATAAGTCTGCATTCTTCCTTAAGCAAGCTTGAGTTGCTTCCTCACCAGGTCGGGGAGTCTGATCCCAATCTCCACGCCTTTGCCAGGGTCTTCGCCGAGGGGGAAGAACTCGAAGTCTCTGTCTGAGATAGGTCGGAGAGGATCCTATTCTCCATAGGAGGCTTCGACTTCATCTTTGTTAAATTGAGTGTCGAGTGAGATGGAGTCGACCTTTGGTTGAGCCCTTTGTTTTACGATCCAAGCAGGCTTCGATTCAGGTCGAGTAATGGTTGCTTTTTTGGCAGGTCGCGCTCTAATGTCGACTATGCTCTTACCTTTGGAGGCTGCATAAAAACATCTCCTGGAAGTTGAGATGTCTCCATAGATGGTGGCGATGCAACCACTCTTGGTCTAGAACTTCATTTTCAGATGAATGGTGGAGGGTACGGCGCTCAGCTCGGCCAATGTCGGTCTCCCCAAGATGCAGTTGTAGAGAGACAGGAAGTCGATCATTAGAAATCGCACCTTGACTTATCAGGATGCAGTTTCTTCCCCAAAGGTGACAAAGAGCTCTACGTAATCCCACAGTTTGGAAGTCGAGCCGTTGAATTCTTGTAGGTCATACCCTACATATGGTGACAGGTGGGCATCGTCGAGCTACAGGATTCTGAACAAATGATTGTACATGACGTCGATGGAACTCCCCTTGTCGGCCAAAATATGATGAATGTCAAAGTTGGCCATCCCTACCTTCACCAGCAGAGGAATGCTCGAGTTCGAGGCTCCACCGGGCAGCTCTTCCAAGTAAAAAGTGATTGGTTCAGATTTTCTTTTAAACCTTTCGAGCGTTACATCCTGGATCGGGGTTGCGTCCACCAACTCGTCGAGCTTCCTCTTCGCTGAGTTCGATCTAATATCGTTGAATCCCTCGCCAGATATGATCATGACAAAGGGGAATTTCTCTCATCTGTTGTGCGCGGAAAAGGGTTCGTCCTCGTAGCTATCGGGGACGTGGAAGTCTTCTGGCCTTGTCACAGAGAAAGCCACTTATATGGGGCCCGATTCATCGAACGGTCGGGTTTCTTCCTCGACTTATTTTGCCTCTTGGGTGTCTCGACGAGGGGCGTCGTTGTGTATGTACTGCCCAATTCTCCCACCTTTAATGAGAGTTTTGATGGTATCCTTGAGGTGGACGCAGTCTTCCGTCAAGTGTCTGTGGCTACGATGGCACTGACAATATTTTGTTCTGTCAGCCCCAGGCTTTGTAGAAGAGGGCCGAGGAAATCTGACATCGCCGTCCTTAAACTCAATATTAGAGCACTCCACAAGAATATGTTCACGGGAAGCGGTCAACAGGGTGTACTATGTGAATTGCCCTACTGGTCCTCTGTGCTCGCGAGAATCGCAAGGTTTCTCTTCCCTTTTCTTCTCCCCAGTCCGTCGAGAAGGGCCCACGTCTTGGTGCCATGGGATGTTAGCTAGTCTGCGGTTCCTTGAATCGCGGGCTTTGTTGGCCGCCTCCTTCTCCTCATAGTTCATGTATGCCCTAGCCTTTTTGAGGAGAGCGTTGAAAGACCTGAGGGGCTAAATACTGACAGCCTTCCTAAATTCAGTGCCCAGAAGGAGTCCTCTTTCGAACAGGTACCTTTTTATGTGATCGGCACATGGGACCTGAATGGTCTCGCAGTTGAACCGATCAATGTATTCCCTGAGGGTCTCGTCGCTTCTCTAGATGATTTCCTCAAGGGCGGCCTTTGTCTTCAGATGTCGACGAGACACAGTGAAGGAACTGATGAACTGGTTCTTGAAGCTCCTCCAAGAGGTGATCGACCCCAGGGAGAGGTTCTTGTACCAGTCCATGGTTGTCTTTCTCAAGGTCGTGGGGGAACAACCAACATTTAATTGGCCCCCCAATGTTGTGGTAATGGAGCATTGCTTCAAACCCGTCGATATGGTCAACAGGGTCTGTAATGCCGTTGTACTCCTTTAGTATGGAAGGCTTCTCCATTCCCATAGGAATGGGAGCCTCCATGATTGCTTGGGATAATGGACCGCGAGGGTCATCTTCGTCACTTCTATCTAGAGAGAAGGAAGGGGACCAGTTGTTGTGGTAGTCGTTGTGATGGCCTTGGCCGCGGGGAGGATCTCTTGGTCGAGGTTGTCCTTCGTTTCCCCTGTTTCTGTTGTTTCCAGGGGATCGTCGCTCCCTGCGCGGTGGAGAGTGATTGCGTCTTCTCGTAGCTTCGGGCTGATTCCTCTCCAACGCAGGACATCGATCAGCTTGTCGCGGAGAAGCGTTGTGCGAGATATCCCGCATGCGTCTCCGCGGGGGAGATTGGGGAAAGTCTTCGTTGTGCCAAGGAGGAGGAGTGTCGGGTCTTTTGTGCTTTTTGGGGGCCCGACGAACAGGGCTCTGGTCGTGGCGTTTGTACCGACTGAAACAAGGACCTCCTGGAATACATTTGATTCATAGTTCTGGGGAGGACGATAGTCGTCCTAGCGCAATTGTGAGCGGGATGATGAAGAGGCGGTCAGTCCGTCTCTATAGTTTTGCTCGACACCGAGCATGATGATGTTGTTGTCGATGTTGTTGTTGCCGACACTATTGTCACCGACATTGTTGTTATTGGGGTCGGCAAGGTGAGCGTTTCGGTTATTGTTGACAACTTGGTCGGCCGTGACAATCGTACAGTTTGATGAAAAGTTGCTTTGATCTTGAGAAGAAGATAGGGGAAACTATTTCCCACAGACGACGTCATTAATCGTACCTGACCAAAAAGGATTGTCAAAGCCTTCAAGCTTTGAGTCGAGCAACAGTTGAATGTGAAGTGGAGGGGGGGGTACCTGCAAGACATTATGATGTCAAAGTAAGTTTCAGAGCAGTGCCAACAAATATGAGAGTGAGTGATTATGAATATGAATACCTGACCCTCTCAAGTGAGAGGGTATTTATAACTCCAACACTGAGCCAAAGTCTTCAATAATGGGCCACGATGAGGCCCAACAACGAAGACTGTCAGGTTTACGTGTGTATGGAGTCCAGTACGTGACCTCCTCCCTGATCAATTGCTCCGAGAAAGTAGGAGTTGGACCTATTATTTCCGGAGAGCATGATGATGATGATGATGATATAGACACGTGGACAACGTCCTCCTAACGGATACATGGAAAAATACCCAATGGTTCTTCAATTGGGTTGCATGTTTTTGGGTCTTTGATAAAAGCACTGGATTAGACCTCTCTAACAATGAGACAAGAGTCAGCCCAATCCAAAACAACATGAGTTTTGAATCAATCTATATTAATTTCGAGCAATAGAATTGCTTTGTCTTTTTGTCATCAATATGACAAACAACTTCCACGCTAAAAAAATGAACCAGTGTTCGTTCACTTCGGGTCAGATAACCTATTTTTAAAGAATATCAAGATAAAATGGAATCCGTGTTCCAAATCAACACTACAGAATTACGATTAAATACGTAAATCTAAGAATCTACTAACATTTTTATTCCATACATCATTCCCAGGTCACACAAGACGTAGCTAGTCTAACAAACTATTAATAAAAACTTCTAACATGTGTACATCAGATCTTACAGGTATTAAATGGAAGAGGCAGCATAGCAAAATGGTCTACACCGTAGGTGAAGATGAACTTAAATTATTTCTCCATCATGTTAAACTATTAAAATAACTGTTAATTTAATATTAAACAAATTTAATAGATAAATTGATTGTAAGTGACCTACTAACCAAGTAGTATGTAAAGAAACATATATTTATAATTTATACCCAAATATATTTTTTAACTAAATGCCAAAATTTATGATAAATTACATTAATAATCTTATTAATTAAAAATTAAAAAAACTATGTCTCAGAAGAAAGAAGTGAGAGGCACTTGCATTTGACATTTATTTGCTTTTGATTGCAACGTACAGAAAATGTATAATATATTTCAAATTTTTTTAAATTACACAAATTATATATAAAACTCCGGCCATTTTATTTATGTTATCCTATTAATTTATACATAAAATTTAAGAAAATAAATAGATATAGTAATTTTAATAATAAAACAAATTTTATTAGTTAACATGTGTTTATTAGAGTAATTATATGAGAGGATATTACGTTTTAACTTTATGTGTTTTCAAGTTTCATTTATTATTAATATTAATCAGATTTCATATAAAATTAAAATTTTATAATTTATAAATAAAATATTTATTTGGGTCATATTTAATCATATTTTTTTTTTGTGTTTATGTAAAAATAGTAAAGTAATTAAAAAAATATATTGATTTTTTATTTAAATTGAGAAAAACTTATTTAACTTGTAATAGTAAGTCATTTTTAATTCACATGATAGATCACCATGTTAACCTTCACTCACCGTGTATAATATACTAATCACATAGTACAATTCATAAAATAATGTATGCAGCTTCACAATTCTTGTAATGTACAATGAAGGCCTTACTTAACCATTGTTCATCATCATCTCCTACAAGACGGGGCAAAAGAAATAAATAGTTTCTTTTAGAAACAAAAAGGATAGTAATTTATACATACTAACAAAACATGTTTATTCCTTGTGATTTATAAATAAATTAAAAAAAAAAAAAACACACACAATTTATCATCACTGAAATTTATGTGGGGTTCCACTTAATAGGAAGTGGCCCCATTTACCTGTTTAGTTCAAACAAGCTGAACTACAGCAATAACCCTTAGGGCCCCATTTTGGAGAAGATCAGCAAGCTCATCAAATAGCAAAGCAGTTCGCCAACCCCATCCTTTCGGGGCTTTGGGTAGAAGAGTGCCTGTTTGTTTAAAGCTTCCAAAAACCAACATTTCCCTCTTGGATGGGCAAGTCAACTGAATGTGCAAGGCAGAACAAACCCAGAATCATCAACGGAAATAATAGAATATCATCAAACATCTAAATTACTGAAGCAGTAGTCATTAAATTATTACCTGATACCGGGCGGTCACCTTTTCACGTGAGTCAACATACATATGTGCCTGATAACAATATGATGTAAGGTCTAACATCTAATTTAATATTTACAATGAAAGCATTAGCAACCAGCTAGCAAGTATACAAGTTTGAATCAATTATTATTTATTTTTAAGGAAAAAAAGGTCCCTTGTGTGGGTAGTAAGGCTGCTACTATTTTACCAAGACTAAAATAAACTATTTCAAACTTAAAGCATAAATATAATACAAACTATATCAGGCCCAAATTATTTAAGTAAACGAAAAACAGTTCTGCTAACCTTCCTGTATAAATCAGTTATCTCAGCCTTCCGACGGTGAAGAAACAACCCTGCATTAGCATTGAAAATAAGCACCCAGATAGACAAGATTTTTTCTATTTACTACTACTGATATTAATTCACATCCAGAAGATGAGAATTTTGATGTACTAAAACATTACCTAGGGTGCGGCGTCCTTGGGGATCTTCATCATTAAAAGCCTGAATACTAACCTGAAGATTCAAACAAATAAAATCTTTTCAAACCAAGATACCCTCCTAAATGAATATAATGATTAATTGATGTCCATGTTACCTTCCATAAAGAACCAGCATAGAAAATTTCTGGTGAATGCTTGACCTGGCCATCACTAAGTCTGTGCACTTCCTCAAAACTTACACTACAAAATTACCAGAATATTCCAGAATATTTAAATAAGTGGATGAAGCTTAGCACCCACAAATTTGGGATCCTTAAAAAGAAACATAAACAGAAGCCATAAATGCAAAACAGATGTATATATGTGAATTGGTTAAACAACTGAAACAGAAATTGCAAGACCAATCAACCTTAACTTGTAAGGCATGTTTTCCATGCAGTCAAGAAATAGCATTGGTCATAAATATTAGACATGGCAAATCCAATTTAAAAGGAACATCTATGTCTAGATGTCAAGAACACCTCCCAAGAGATAGAGTATAAGCTCTCATCAAAGTAATAATTGAACTTCAAGAAGAAGAGAGAAGATTCATACAGACAAGAAGAACACAATTAAAGGGGGAACAAGGAGGAGAGAAAAATGGTTCACAAAAAATATATTGACATGATTTTTATGCATGAGGTTTAAACTTTGCGAAATAGCATCTACAAGACAAAGGCGATGAAAATGTCAGCAGAAAGCCATCTAAAAGAAAAATAGAAATAGAATGAAAAGAAGTCTAAATATTAAAGATACTGATACTGTGAATACTTGTAACATGGTAACTAAGGAGGATTACCAAATCTATTTGACCCACCACAAGCTTCTAGTGTGGTGAATGTGCGAGCAGGGGCATAAAAGCAGCCCTCAAGACAGCTAAACTATCAATAAATACCATTTTAACAGTTATTAATAGTTGCAAAGTAGTTGACCTACCCAAAGCGAAAAGGGGGGAAATGGCTTAAAGGTGTTTTCAAATCCAATGATATAGAAGAACTGTTGTCATTCTCCCATTCTATACCAACGGCATGTTCTGGCGTCTCTAACATTTGTACTGGAATGCCACCACTACTTGCACCTCCAGCAGTACTTTGCAAGCCAATTTCATGCCCTCTTTGTATTAGCTCTGTATGTACATTCGTTCCATAATTCCCTCCCTGGCTTAGCCCAACTAAAGCTGTCAATCCATCTCCAGACAGGTCTCCGTTGTGATCAGCACGTGTGTCTGAATCGTCATTGGCAGCAGACTGAGGGTAGTTTCTGTTGCCAATGCCAAATGGTACACGAGAAAAGACAAATCGTGTTGGAGGTGAAGCTGCCGCAGGAACAAATGTAGTCCCACGGCCAATACCTGCAAGCCCGTCATTAGCACCTCTAACATGTACTCGTACGGGTCTAAAGGAGCCATTTCTTTCGCCTGTAGAAGATTCAGCGACATATATATTTCCTCCACCCCCAGGCATATTGTTATGATTATGTTCTTGCATGTAAGATCCAGTGGTAGTAGATCCATGTACAAATGCAAACTGCTTGTGGCAAGTACAAGACATAGTCATAAGGGAACAAACTCTGCATGTATCGGCAGCAATCTCTTGTACTCTCTGACTAAGAAGCATCTGAAAAAGCAACAAAAATTAAAACAGCCAAGCAATAATGTCAATAACAATTTACAACCAATAATTTATGTCCCGTAAATAATAATTTAGACGATGAGTATTTATGACCCATATCAAATATTGATATGCAGAAATAAAAATCGTGGCATTCAAATATTTTCAAGAAAATATGCTTTTTAAGGAAGATACTGACAGGTTGACAAACTTGGTCTGTTATAGTGGAATAGTGAAAAACATAACATGTTATTGGACAAAACTAGTTTAAGCCTTTAAGGAGAAAAACTAAAGATTGCAACTTTAAATTTATAAGCTTTTTTTAAGATGTCAAAATATAAAACAAACTTCAAAAATCAAATTAATCTCAGTCCAACCTGCAGCCACAGACCATCATTTACAGCTTTGCAAGGGAATCCTATCTCTTCAAGCTGCTTTCTGACATTTAAAAGTGCATCAAAAGACATACTGCAATATAAAAGTGAGCCCCCTTCAAATATATTAAGAAATACATTGTCTTCATCTCCATAGTTTCCTCTGGAATGAGCTTTGACTTGTCTTCTGCCAACATGGGCACCCCATGAGAACAAAGGTGCTCCATACCTTCCCCACTCACTGGACGTGAACCCATTACAAGAACTCGTTGAAAAACAATGTCTTGATTGATCCCTTGCCAACCTATTGCTGTTATCCGAAAGGTAGCAAGGTCCTTCCTCAGACGGCCCTTCAATATCCACTCCATTAGTTACTCCGACACCAAGAGGTCCCGCCCCATCAGTGTCACCCAATGAAGGCCCTTCCATGTCACAAGAATATCTAGGATTCATGTTTGGTGAACTGACATATGAACCAAGTTGAACTCGTTGATTGGAATCAGAAATGTCATTGTTGAAGTCTACTACTGAGTCTGCAAGCTCGGCGAAAAGATTAGGTACGCTAGGGTCCTTTGGATCACTTTTAAGACTCATTTTACCCAAGTCAGTTTCCAACCTCTTGTTAGTACAGCTATCAGCTATACCTTTTCCCTTGGTTTTATCAGAATGAATGCCAGTTGCCGACTCAGAACCAGGAATTCCATGTGCAGGATGTTCAACCTTGTAGTGAGCACTTTTTGCGAGGAATGTGTGCAAAGCCAATTCAAACCTTTACATGAATAATTAGAAATGTATTATGCATTGAAAAATTCAATATATTAACCACAAAATTCAAATAAGGTCTATGAGCCACACACCGCTTCTCTTCACAGGGTACCCACAGGTCATTAGAGGTCAGTAATGCATGTAATGTATTAGATGAAAGTTTAGGAAGAACCTGCAACAAGCAAAAGTTGCTTAATCAAACATAATCTTTGTACTCATAGGAAACACATGATCAAGAACCAAAACCACCATATGCAAGCATGCACTTTGTTTTCCTCATAAGCACATAATCAAGAACCAAAAACCACCATATGCAAGCATGCGTTTTATTTTCTTTTTTACCTCTCTCAATTCTATGCCTCCACTTTGACAAAGGTATCCCCAACAAGCAGTTCTAACACGCTCCCCATGAATGCCGTAATCTTGGTTCTCAGCAAACACCTAGCAATAACACACCACCGATAACTAACCCAAATATTTATACAGTATGATTTAAATTTCATAAATGAGGCTATACAATACTAGCATCTAAGTTTATGAACCTGATAAGCCAAGAAGTTGGAAGTCCACAGCTCAGATATAATGAAATCTGTACATATAGCACATAAATCCTACAGAGTTGTATTGATACACCAAATAAAAAACATTATAAAATCTAAAAATCAAACTACAAGTATAATATCTGAAAATCATGCTAAAAGAATAAAACATGAGGTTTAAAATGATTTCGATATTTCGTGTGCTTCAAGTCATTAATTTAAACAACAACATACCTGAAGGTCAAGAAAGGAAGCGGCAGCAAGGACACGAAAGGCATTATCGTCATTAAGTTTAGGGTGGTTCCCATAAAGATACGCCAAAGCAATTGAAATAGCCTCTTCATTAACATTCTTATCATCAATGTGTAGAGTCACTACAGGAGCACTGGCTTCTTTCCATGGACCATGAAGCATGTTCCTGATTCACATAAGCATGTATTTTTAACTCCCTTCGAGATTGTTTAAAAAATTCATGATTCAGATAGTTGCCCATAGCATAGCCTTGTTTCTCAATCTAAATTAGAAAACCTAACCAAATTACAAAAGCTCTAATATGGAGCACTAGTAATCAAATATATCATAGTTTCAGTCATCCTTACCCTACTTTCAATTCTCTAAAACTAGTAATCAAATATACACTAGGAATCAAAAGTTACTAGAAAAAAAGACCTATCAGCCTCCTAACCCTAGTTTCAATTCTCTAAAACTTAAACAGATTCAAAATTACAATTATTCAGTTATTCAGGGGAATTCAAGAGTAGTAAATTTGATAAATTAAGCTGAATTCAAATGTTATTTAAAGATAATACAAATAATTTTTTACACGAGGATATTGATGAGTTGCCGATAATGAGGAATAATTGTAATAACCTGAAATATGAACTACGAGAGAGGATGAGGCGATGGAGGTGATAAGCGGAGCCCATAGCATTAACGACGATATCGGAGAACGAGCCGGAATTGAAGCCTTCAATTTGGACATGTTCGCAGAGGGAAGCGAGGTTGCAATCGAGAGCGCGTAACTCTGCGGTGGTGTGATCGTTGTCGGACTGATGCGACGGCGGAGTAGGGACGGAAGCGCGTTGGTGTTGATAGGTTGGAGGATGGCTGTTTAGATATTGAGGGTCTTCCATGATCGTCGGTTAGAGAGTGTAGTGTAGCGTAGGGTAGCGTAGAAGATCAAATGAATACTGTAGTTTTCATTCCATTTCCATCAATCAATCATTCAATCATAACGATAACAAGATCGAAATGAACCATAATTCACACTGCCGTTGCCCCCGTGCATAGGAAAGTTATAAACGCGGCGTTTTAATCCTGCCTTGTCTGTGGGTGGGGGATTGCTGACTGCACCCAATAATAATAGATTTAAAATTAGAAATTTACATTGCATGATACGAATTCTTCTATGTTCCTATTAAAGAACATTGCGTTAACATATATCGCATAAAATTGATATAAATATTAAATAAATATTATATAATTATAGTTAAAATTATATAATTATATATACAAATTAAAATAGTAAAAAAAGTTATCTATAATTATCACATAAATTTTAATTTAATTTATTATTTTATAATAGCTGTCAGGATATACATAGAAATTATATTGAAAAATATATGAGTGTATAGTTTAATACACTCCACACACATTTATAAAACTGATTATCTATCCGTACGTTTATATGGTTGTGCAATATTATTATAAATAATAAATAAAAATAATATAATAATGATTAAAAATGTATAGAATCCGTACGTTCGCACGGATCGAATAAAATTGATATATAATTGAAATAAAATTCTTTTAGAGAAACAATCTAATAATATCAAAATATTTATTTATTTAGATTCATTGAAACATAATAATAATAATAATAATAATAATAATAATAATAATAATAATAATAATAATAATAATAATAATAATAATAATAATAATAATAATAATAATTGTTAGTTCTCTTGTTTTAGGATTGACTTAATTTTTGTAAAACAAATAATAACAGCAATAATGTAATGTAGAATAGGATGTATAAACTTGTTAAGATGAATGGGTACAACAAGAAGTCCCATTACAATGTCAGAATATGTTGTGTTGAACTTTTTCAACAACTAGAACAACATGTCAAAGAAGATGTCTTCGACATCGCGCCTGTTGAGCTGGATTAATGAGATTCAGTTTATTCTTAACAGAGGCAGAATATTCAGGAGAATATTATGCATCATATGTGGTGCATATTTAAAGGTCTAGATAATTCAATCAGAAATTAAGGAGAATGAAGACTTTCTAAATAAGGAGATTATTTAGGAAACTAAAGATTGAACATCTTTCTTAGGACAAAAGTTTCTGCAGTTTGTTACATCTGATTTGTTGTAATTGAATGCTCAAAACCAATTGAGTAACAGGTTATAAACAGAAGGGTTTGTAATCTAGAAAAGACATGACTCAAGATGTAGAAGTCTAGGGTTTTGTCAAGGTAAACCTCTCGGGTCGTGGGAAGGTTACCATATTCACCCCGAAGCCTGTAGGTAAGAGGTGTATTGTTTTTGGAGGAAGCTTTGAAGCAACTCCAGGATGTGTTCTTAGTTAGGAGCAAAACTAACAAACAGTGGAGTTTGGCTTGGAAACTTAGCTAGGATTGTATGATCAGAATCTTGGTGAAGGGTTGTCGATGCAGTGACTGGGGTGTTGACGGCTAGAGATCATTGCGATGATTGGAAGTGGGATGGGGATATTCCATATCTAGGGAGGACCTAGGTAGAAGGGTCATTGGGTAGTGATTAAGTGCGTAGATCGTTAACGGGTGTGTTGGATGTAGGGTCTGCAAATTGATACTGCTGATAGTGGACTTCATTCTTGGCTTGGTAGCCCCCAGAGTAGGTGTTGTTATACACCGAACTGGGTAAACAATTATGATGTGTTATTTATCTTTTCAATGTTGTTTTATCTTGCATGTGTGTTTGTGTCAGATCAGATGTCTCGACATCCTTATAGGACATCTGAGTCTACTGTACCAAAATTTCAATTGGTATCAGAGCAGGCATCCTGCTATGTTCTGGGCGAGATCCTGGGAAGGTACTTTCTGGTCATGGTCAAGGAAGAAAGTATTTACTGAAAAGAGATATGAACTTGGACAATTCATACTATTGTACGGATGATCTCGTGGAAAGGATCATTGGTTATTTGTGACAGGTATTGTTCCTGTCTGTTGCCTTCAGGCCTGTAGCTTGGTGGGAAGCTGTTGCACGTAGGGTTGATTTATTTTCAATCCTAAGTTTTCATGCTTATACTTGGATAGTGGTGTAAGCATTGTGTCTGAATATTGTTGAGGAATTTTTTTTGTATTCTGCTGCATGGTATTTGATATAACCCTGAAAGTATGGGAAGGATACTAGGGTTATTACTCTCGATAAAATATATGTTGACATTTTCAACTGTATTAAAAGTGTCAAAGATACTTGAGATCTTCCTCAAGTTCATTCATAAAGACATTTATCAATAAGGTTGATGAGAATCAATTGATCAATGATGCTCATATACATCTGCATATTAACCTTGAAGACTGTCAAGGATGGTGTGTTCCAAGAAGAAGGAACTGATGTTCTATGGGATGTTAGAACATTATTTCAGCAGGTATGCAACTACCAGTTGAATAACATGTGCCTTGGGTGCTGAACAAAAATGTTATGAATACTTTTTGTTTGGAACCTACTCCTGATCTGGAAGAGGAGGCATCTGGTTTGTGCAGGTTGATCAGGACACGATCAACAATTTATCTACTCCATGTATCAGTTTATTTTTGACCAAGTCTTATGGGAGTATAGAGGTTTAGCTCCATGTTCTTGAGAAGAACTCATAAAGGAATCTCCACCAGACTCTTTATGTATATGAGATGATCTCGTGTCTGGAAGATTCTTCTGATCAAAGGAACCAGATTCATGAAATCCTGTTTATGGCCATATAACAGATTATGTTTGAAGAGGAGTATTGTGATCCAACCACAGTGTTTGATGCTCCCGAGTATTGTTTTGATTTCCCTTGAGGAAGAGAATTTGTGATTCTCTTTGTGTACCCTCAGAAGTTGTTGAAGAAGATTCCCTTGTCAAAGGTTGATATAATGTCAGACAGAATGTCGTGACATCTTTAAAGATGTTAAAATTTAAAGGGCATTGTTTTTGAAGAATCATGGGAAACATAATTCATTGATAAGTCTGTATAGATGCCTAATAGAGGGAATCTCCTCTGTAGATACAAACAATGGCATCCATCATCTCAAAGTCAAACAGGAGGTCTGAAGAAAAGTTGATTGAGATGTGGCTCGTACAATCCCCGACATATGTTGGTAGTCTGATCCTAATTGATAAGTTGTTGTTGGTATGTTTCCTTGTGTTTCCCCCATAAGAGTTGAGTATGAGTTACTACATTAATAATGGATAATGTCGTAGCATATGTTGGAACAACATCTCAATTTCTTCAGCAATAAAAGTGACCTTTTCTCAAGGATACACTCAAATTGAAGGAGATGTTTTTTATGAAACCTTTGTTCATGTGGCTAGACTTGAATCAATTAGACTACTCTTAGGAGTTGCTTGCATTTTGAGGTTTAAGTTGTTTCAAATGGATGTAAAAAGTGTCTTCCTAAATGAATGAGGAAGTCTATGTGGAACAACCTAAGGGATTTATTGATCCAAGTTTTTTTCCCTAACCATGTGCACAAACTGAAGAAAGCTCTGTATGGATTAAAGCAAGCTCCAAGAGATTGGTATGAGAGATTGACAGAATTTCTTGGTGAGAATGGATATAGGAAAGGTGGTATAGACAAAACTCTTGTTGGTGAGTTAATTTACCTTCTTGGTCTGCAGTTAAACAAATGTAATACTCCATGTTCCTATCTCAGAGCAAATATGCTAAGAATATAGTAAAGAAATTTGGGATGGAAAATGTCAGTCATAAGAGAACACCTGCTCCCAGACATTTGAAGTTGTCTAAATATGAAAAAGGGGTGTGTGCTAGATATCAAGCTGATCCCAAAGTTAGCCATGCCAACCATGTGAAGAGAATACTAAAGTATGTGAATGGGACAAGTGACTATGGTATGTTGTATTCTCATGGATCTAGCTCTGCATTAAGTGGATATTATGATGTTGATTGGGAAGGAAGTGCTGATGATAGAAAAAGTACACCAAGAGGATGTTTCTTTCTGGGAAATTATCTCATATCATGGTTCAGTAAGAAGCAAAATTGTATGTTCTCCAAAGTTGAGTTTAAGGTCAAGCCACTGACCTAATCTGGAATGTTTTGGCTGCCATGATTGGATGTCATGTCAAAGATTCAGAAAGTATCACAGGTGTGAAGAAGAAGGATGTCAGATTAAAGTCCTACCTAGTGTGAGAAGGTAATCCTATATGACTAACTGATAAGTACTTTGATGGGAAACTGAGTATTTATTAGAATTATGCGTGAAAGTTGACTACAAATACCTAGATGGGAGCTGAATGTTTGTTTGATGATTGAGTGCAAATCTGATTTCTGAACATGTCTTTCATAAAATATTTGAGAGCTTATGTATCTTAAATTATGTTTTGATTTGTGGTAGATACTGAAGATGAGATCTATTGGGATCCTATTGTGTAGATTGGGAGGTTTGTAAAGGGAATGTAAGGAAATAAGTCCCTTGGATGGTGACTCCAGAATGAAAGCTGATAGATTCTGTAGTAAAGTTGTTAATGTCCCAAATGATGTTGTAACATCATTGTTGATGATAGTCTGTGGAGAGACTTGGGAATGTGAATCTTAAATATTCTACCACCTCTTTCAGAAGTGACAGTTCTATCCTTGGTTTAGAATAAGAAGATTCTGAGTTTGTTTAGAGAAGTATGCTCAAGTAATGTATAACTACTATCTTGGTTTGAAGACTTTACTAGTGTCAGCAAATACTAGTAATATGAAGAAGGAGGATTTAATCAACACATTCGTTAAGGGGTATTCCTTCCGTTGGAGAGTCTGAATCTAAGTAAAGCTTTTAAGCACACTAAGAAATGGTTGGAAGTTGGTTTCAGACTATGGTTGCATGACATCTTAGCCATCCAAAGAGTCATGACAATATGTGTGGAGGTGCAAGGGCATG